GATATTTATTTTGAGATTTATCATCTAAAAATTACAACAGTATTATTAAATTATTACTTTTTAAAGTTTCAAGTGAGCATTAGATGATGGCAAAGGTAATCTAAATGTAAATACAAGGAAATGAGCATGCACAATTAAAATATATGATACCAATATATCGTGCATCCCTACTGTTTGGTTTTCCAGTTGATGAACTGAAGCTTATCTCATATAGAGTGTTTTTCTATACTTTAGGACAACTTACTTCACATCATATGCAAATGATGTCTTCACTTCTGGTGTTTCTGTAATAATCTCTAAAACTTTATTTGTTTTTCCTCCAGCATTTGTGACCTTAACCTGTGCTTTCCGGTATGGCCGTGAGGACCTTGACGTTCTAGGGCTCTCCTTCCGAAAAGATCTTTACATCTACACTTTTCAGGCCTATCCTCTCATTCCAGAGGAATCCAAACCCAACAGTCGTCTGCAGGAGAGGCTTTTGAAGAAACTAGGACAGAATGCCTATCCTTTCCATTTCAGTGTGAGTTTCTACCTGATAGTTGTTGTTTTTTACATCTTTTAAATAATGATGTTGTGATGCTTAAATTTACTTGTAACATTTAAATTGCAATTCAATTATAATTTTTTTTAGTATTTGCTTTCTAATTATTATTTTATGTATTTATGTTGTGATTTATTAAGACAAAATAGTGGACATTTTAAAAATTAGTCATTACATTACATGAAAATAGTAGATTTTCTGTTTTTATTTTATTTAAGACAAAATAATATGAATTTATAATGTTGGCCATTTATCAGTTATAAGGTGAAAATAAATATTGGTATGGTACGTTACATTAACTTTAATGTACTTTTAAAAAAAAAAAATAGGAAGTACTTGATCATCAGATAATTAAGCTGATATATTCTTCTGTTTTTCAGATACCGCAAAACTTGCCATGCTCTGTTACTCTGCAGCCTGGGCCTGAGGACACAGGAAAGGTATTATCACTCATACAAGGCTCATTTTAACACCTTTAGATTCGTCACCCAATTTTGCACACATCCTGTTTGTGAAGCTTTGGCGGACTTGTCCTTTGTTCACCTCCGTCTTTCTCACTCCAGGCCTGTGGTGTGGATTTTGAGATCA